GGGGAAACACCCCAGGGAAAGGATCGGGCCACGCGCCTCCAGGAAAGGGGGGGACCCTGGGCTACGTGGCCCTTCACTGTGGTCCAACAACTTGGCTCTTAGGAGCGGGTCTCCTTTGCGTTGGCCCACTCCACGCCTTGGCCTTAGCAGCAGGTGTTGTGGTTAGTCAGCTCTAAAGATTTCGAGCCTCCAACTCTGGGGTTGCTTCTCTGTCCCAAAGGAAGGTGCAGGACATGGTCCTGGGCACCGCGGACGATTTTATGGGTGAGGGAAGTTGAGCAAGCCTCCTTTTACAGCTCTCCACGACCATTTGTCCCCAGGATGTTCCCACCACCACCACCACTTCTAGAGAAGTCTATAAAAAGTTGTGTCATGGTAAAGTCGTTAAGCGGGACCCTGCCGCTTCCCCTTTTCATGGGCGTCCAGAGTGAAGTAGCTGAGGGCCCTCTGTTTACCACTCAAGTTTAGAGCGGGAAGTTGTACGTGACAAGCTGCAAAGGGGAGAGTAGCTGGGCTCTTGTGTCGGTCCATGATTGTGTTGAAGAGGGAAGCCGCAGGTGCAGCAGCTTTCCCAGCCCTGCCAGTTACCGCTTCTGTGCAGTTTTTAAACATGAATGGGAACCCTGTTAACTGCTTTGTGCATTACTGTTTATTCCCTAGTTACACCTGCTTAAAGCTGGCAAAGTTCTCTGTACAGGTGGCTGTATGCAAAAGAGAACACCAGGATTGTCCCTGGAAGCATAGGTGTGCATATTATGTGAAGGTAGTATACTTCCATGGAAGCAGGATTCATTTCTAAGGCTTAGGGCTGGAGTGTTTCCAGTTCTGTCAGCCATTAACCCAGCTTCGGCTCACAACAGGAAAAGATAAGAGTAGATGTCTTCTGTGGTTCATTTCTTATGGAAGCAAGGCTTGTGCTGTCCAAGCATCAGAGTTGTGGTGCCTCTTGGGAAACCCCTCACATTGCCAGGTTACCGCACCGCAAAACGAATGGCAAATATTTGAAGTCGGCAGAAAGGTATGGCTTTCCAATGATGCTGCAAAGAAGAAAGGTTGCTTTAGTGTGGTAGCTCTAAATCCTGCCCCCTTCTTAATTTAATGTACTTTTCACACATATCGTATTTGTATGCGTGTGTTTTGTGCCATCAAGTTGGAACTGACTTACCATGACTCTAATAGGGTTTTCATGGTAAGTGAGAGTGGTTTTACGAGTTCCACTCTCTGGGAAGCTGTGAATTGGGGGCCTACTCCAATCTGGCATTAGTTAAAGAGTGGTTTTACCAGTTCCACTCTCTGGGAAGATGTGAACTGGGGGCCTAGTCCAACCTGGCATTAGATGGGAACTAGTGGCAGGCATCTTGGACTCCCTTCTAAATTCAGCTAGCCAGGAAAGAAGGGAATATGTGGGGAAAATGTGTTCCCTGTTTCTCTGCAGCCTTGATGCCATACAGCTGCACTTCTGGTGGTGGGAGGAAAGTGTCTGTAAATACTAAAGGATCCTTTTTTCCTTTGGAACATCGCTTTCCCCAGGCATGGGAGGGATCCTGCCATTTGAGAAGCAGTGCTTTGCAGTGTTCTTTCTTTGTATCCTTAATGTATATGCATTCTGGAAAAAAAAGTGTTGGAGTGCTTCTCCCCATGGCAGTTCAGCTAGAGATGTGACGGGGAGGGGGCAGGGAATATAATTCTGAAATGTTGCAATTTTCAGGTGTCTGAGTGGCACAAGATGAAGAAAAATGCAAGATGATTGGCTGTATTCAGTTTCTGTGAATAATTGTCTAAATTATAAAAAAGAACATTAGGTTGAGGTATATGAAAATATTCAAGTGCTGAAAGTGATCACACTTTCACATGGAATGGCTACGGCATGGTGAGCTTCGAAAGGTGACAAAAGATTCTATGTGAGGCAGTTGTATTTGCAAGGAAAATATTTCTAAGAACGAAAACAAAGGTTTCTCTTGCTCAGCTGTACTGTTTCTTTAACAATCTATAATATTAGTATTTTTACTTCTACAAAGGGTGCTTCCAGATAGAAAGTTCCCACTCTTTACAGTTTTAAAAGCATCCTGGAGTTATGATATTTTGCTTTTTCCCTTAATGGGTTTTCTTTTTATTCTGGTAGGAAAAGGACAAAAGAAACAAAGGGCAAAAAAATTGGAAGTCTGTAAGTTGAAGACATGGAGCAGAGTCCTGTTGGTGTAAGTTACATTGCGGATCTTCGAATATGTCATCAGCCATGGTCATGCCACAGCCATTTGGGGGACTTAAAAGCTTCTCATCCCCCAGCAAGGTTTGGAGATCCCTAGGGATCCTCTTTGTGCTAGGAAACATTTGGGAGGTAGGAAGTGATTTAAAGCTGGAAAGTTGCTGCCACTGGTCCTGAGCCCCCCCACTGGAACCAGTGGAGGTAATTTCCCAGCTTTAAATCATTCCCTGTCCCATTCCATGGCTCCCAAAGGTTTCTTAGGATGAAAGAGATCCCTAGTGATCCCAAGAGCCTGGCAGTTTTTAATTTCCCCAAATGGCTGCAACATGCCTATGGCTGGTGCCATCACCAGAGATCCATGGCATAACTTATGCCAGCAGGATTCTGGCCATTGGCATCTGGCACAGTGAATGAATATGCATGTGCTATAGCTCTTGCCGATCCACAGCATAACTGCAAAGCAGCAAGAAGCATCAAAGTCTGATGGAAATCTGTTTTAAGGTGTGTCTGTTTCTTTAACAGAACAGTGTGGGATTGCTGGGTAATAGTTAATTACTGAATGGCATGAAGCAAGTCTGATGTTTTTGCTTGTGTCATCTGATAAGTATTATATGGATGAACTGCACTCTGGGGATTAGCAGCACATCTTACAACATTTGAACCACATAATTTCTTCATCTTCCTAGTACGGATGATCAAGATCATTATTACTGACTTCAGGGTTTTCTACTCTTCATAAGTAACAGGTGTTCAAGAACCCCTTTAATTATTAAATCTCTATTTCTACAGAAATCTATTTCTCTGAAATAGCTCCATATCACCTGCTATCCCTAAGCCACAAATCTTCGCAGTTTGTTCTCCTACAGTTTCAGTGAAGGGAATGGTCGTCTTTAGCTCTCTCACATTTCTACAAGCTTCTCCCCACATATTGCCCAACAACCTTATTTGTTTCTTTCCTGTACATTGGATTGCCAAGCTGTCCTGCTGTGTCCTGCTGTATGTGCTTAATTTCTTGGGACTACAGCTGGATGAAAATGATTTCATTTTCCTAATATCTTGTACCATATTTAATCAGGTTTTGTATGTCTAATGCAAATGTGTGATAAAGGGGGAAAGAAGTGGAATAAATTTTCAAAGGAGAGCGTGGTTAGGCCTGTTTTAGACCCGAAGTTATCTTTTAGTCATGTCTAGTTTCTATTTTATTCATTCTGTAGTAGAAATACCATAGTGACATTTATCTTGCACAGATAAAATAGGATGACAGAATGCTTCTGAAGCATGGCTGCGTCATCCTTAAATATATGTTTTGTGCATTGAGGTGATGATTGCCTTTTCCCTCCTTCACTTGATTGACCTCCATGGGTATTGGTTTGGGAATGTGCTATATTCACTGCATCCATATTGTCTTGGTAGCAAAGCCACACCTGATTGGCTGAAAGCAGATTAACTCCTTGGAGATGACTGCTTTATTAGTGCCTTTACAATCAAGGGTTGCCCAAGACCTCCCAGATCATAGTACTTGGAACAAGTATCCATTCCAACATTGTGTCTCATCTTGATTCATATATTTTTGCAGAGTGTGTTTGTAGAGGCAAAACGTTTGAGGTTTCCTCGTCAGTTATCTAATTTAAACTATCCAGATCTTTTATGTGCTAGCTTTGAGCACTGGTATTCAAGAAGCATTTTTGGTCCATTGTCATTCACTATTTAAAGAGAAAAGTTTACATTTTGAGTACTAGCGCAAACTGGCCAATATCTTAGCAATTGTGTGTTGATCTTAGGATTCAGGCCTTGATAACTTGCCTTTTGTTTACTTGGTATTCATGTTGCTGAATTCATTGATATAGATGCATGTTGATTCTGTTTACAATGCATAACGTTTGTTTTTTCCCCCCAACAATCTTCACTTGTGGCTGTGTACTTGCTCAACTGATCTCTGAGCAGGACAATTTACCCCCACATCTTACTTTGAATAATCACCCAAGCACTACCCACTCCAATTGTCAGCCGCTCTTCCAAGTGTTGAGAAATATTTCCCAATGATAATAATATTCCTTTGCCATACCTTTTAGTGTTACATTGCACAGCTATAGCTAAAATAGGACACTAGATCTTTAGGATATTAATTGAGGACTAGGCTGCCTTCATTGTGAAACAGAACTTTTGCAGGTAGACTTCCTGACAGATTAAACTCTGTTTGTTCGAAGTTTTTGTTTCCTTTTATTACAGAAATAACATAGAAGACAATGAAAATGTAAAACTTCTAAAAGGAGTCTAAAAGAATCACAGCCTATAAAAGCAGTGCAAAATCATTATCAGGGATAAGACAGCCTTCAATTAAAAGGTTGATTACAAAAAGATATTGGATGCTGTAATGATTCCTAGATAGATAGGAGGAACATTCCCAACCACAGACTGCCCCAACCCAGAAGGTCTTTTCATGAGCTTGTCATATCTCTGATTAGGGGGGGGGATCCTCAGTGGAGAAAGATACTTTATAACCTTGTGTATGATGGGGCTGTGTATTGGTTTTCCCACTGGTCCAGAGTATGGAATACTTGGATGAAGCCTACCTACTTTCTACACTAAGCAGATTGGTTTGATCTGATATTATCAGTATTCCAAAGGCTTGGGTTTCTGATCAGCGGCATCATGGTATGCGGAGGCTGCAAATCTAGGGCTACTCCACAAGAGCAAGTTTGCCAAGAACTACATGTGCCTCCTACAATCTGCAAAATTTGACATTATCAGGATCAGTGTTTTAATTTTGAAATTTGTTGCCTGCATGCTGTGAAGATAAGTATGGGAATGTTACAGCCTTTAACCATGCTACCACTGTAAAAGAAGAATACTGTATCATAAAATGTAGCAAGGCATATAACAGCACCAGAACAGCTGTGTGATCTTGGCCCTTAAAATGAGCTGTCTGGTTTGAACCTAGATCAGTAGCGTCCCTTCATAGTTTGAGAGAGGAACATAAGCTGTCTGACACTGGACAGACGGATTAGTTGCCTTTCAGAAAAGTTAAAGTAATAAGACAGAAGCATTACTGCCCCCATGATGCACAGTACCGTATGTACATAGTTCTTTTGCCCTGCTGTCATCTTGTCCCATTGCCTGGCAAATGGGTTTAGGTTTTTCAGCATTGCATTAAAAATTGTCCAGGGCATGAGTGGGGTCAAGAAAAATGAATGTCAATGATAGGCATCTGCTGCTGTGTCACATATTCTTCAGTTCGCTCTGTTAAAATCAAAATGTTCTCAGGATCCGCATACGGTCAGGATAATGGGCTATTGCTCAAAGTGTTCTAATATAGAAAAATACATAGGACAGAGTAACACTGATGGATTTACAAGTATTGGTTCCATCCAGAAATCAGTAAATTTGGTATACATAAAGGTTAATTGTATGGATTTGAATCTTTTTAGCTATGTTGAAATATTTAGGCTGTGAAATCAGGGACTGGTCAAGGGCATTCAGCTTTCAAATTTAACTGACTGTCTCCACGTTATAGGATTGTGAGGATGAATTAAACTTGGAGAAACTGTTGCTTTGCTATAAATGCAATTTAAAAACCTTGGAAGTGTTATGGGAGACAGAGGCATGTAGACTCAGAAATAGACCACTTGAAGAGAGAAGAGTGTGAGATTAAATTACAATGTCACTGCTACACATATGGGCAGTCATATTTATAGTACCAGCTCTACTGATTGTGTTTGCAGAGGAATAGCTATAGTTAAAATGAGTCTTGTGCCGTGGTGTAGCTCATACCCCTTGGGAACTCTAAGTGCACTGAACTAAAACCAGCCCTGAGCAGGGAAAGGTGTCAGAGAGAAGGGGGTTGAAGTACTTTTTTCAGTTTTAAGACTCACACTGCAGGTCAGAGTTTAGAAATGTATAAAAAGAGCCATGAATGAAAGAGCAGAAAATGTGTAAACAAAGCAACAGTCAAAACAGGGGATTGTATCTGGTACAGTTCAGGAAGTTGGTTGGAGTGGGCTTAGTAGTAACTTCATTGTGGGTGTTTTGGAGTGAGATGTGTGTAAAATAAAAGGATTGTTATATTGCCAGGGTTCTTTAGCATTACTGTGCCCTCTGCATACTGAGACAGGTTGGCTCC